TGGAGGGTGGGCCGCTTTAGAGGCGCGTCAGCGCTCCCGCCCGAGGGTTCGGGTCCCACATACGGACCGGTTCCCGCTCACTGGCTGAGCGAGGCACGGGAGCAACACCGAGGGCTGCGATCCCGTCGCCGGTCCCCGGTCCGGTACGGGGGCAACACTGAGGGTTGCGATCCGTTGCTGGACACGGAAAAAAGGATAAAAGACAAAAAAAAAAAATATTGTCTGATAAAGCAGTCACGGTTCCTCTAAGTTACTGTCATTTTAGTTACTTCTAAGACTGCTGTCGAAGTATCAGCATACAGATGAAGGAATGGCTGAAAGACATTCCAAAGATCTAAGCACACTGTAAATTATTCAAAAGTAGGGACCATGTCTTTAGTTTATCTTGTATCACCCAGAGCACCTGCCATAAGGCTAGGAGAGCTATTCTGAAAGGAAAGGTAACTGGCTCTCCTACTTGCAGCAGATGTCATCTTTCTCCCACCTTTGAACTCACAGAATACTTTTTTTATTGTACATATTTATGGGATATGACATTATGTTTTGATATATGCACACATTGTTGAGTGATTAAATCAAACTAATTACCAGCCCCTGGTAAACCACCGTTTTACTCCCTTCTTCTATGAATATGACATTTTTAGCTTTCACATATAAGGGAGGTCATGCAGTACTTGTTTTTCTGTGCCTGTGCTTTATATATGTGTATTTAGACATTTCTGAAGACTTGAAGCTTCATAAGAGTAAAGACCATTCCTATACATCTGGGTAACATTTGAGTAACCTGGCACAGAGAGGTATGAGTAAATGATTAAACACCTTATCATTAGTGCAAAGATTAAAGTAAGCAGGGAGTGAAGTGAGAGCCTGCAGGAGGGTCCCTCTGTCTACAGGGTCAAAGACGACATTTTAGAAGTTACTGAACTTGAGTTAAGTTCTCCCATTGTCAGAGTTGGCCAACCCAAGGAGGGAAATGTCAAGCAACGAAGCTGAAAAGGTAAGCAGGAGCCAAACCGGGAAGACCTTTGACACCTTGGGAAGGCTTTGACAGATTTTAAGTAGGTCACTGACATAGTCAGATATCCATTTTAGAAAGAGCACTAACACTAGAGAGAGGATCAGGGTCAAGAGTGCTGATAAGAAGACTATCAACTTAGGAGTCTCCTGCAGTCATTCAGTGACAGATGAGGACCTAAATGAAGGCAGTGACTATAGAATAAGAGAAGCATATGGATTTGAGAGATATAGAGAAGGCAGACTCCATAGGATAAGGTGCTAAATTAGATGTAAGGAGTGAAGAGAAAAAGCAAGAATCAAGGATGACCCATAAAGGTTTTCAACATGGAAAAGATTTTTCTCTTTCTTTTCCTGTTAAAAGTCACCCCCCAAAAATACAGGGAATGAAAAATAAAAAATAAACTCCTTTGATGAAACGAGATTAATCTATATCCCCCAAACCACAATAAATGAAAATAGATGGAAGAATGGTAACAGACTTATCAGAGAGGAGAAAGAGGAAACTGAAATGCCTGCAAATGAGAATTCTGACAAGTAGTAAGCTGACTGGCCCATGAAAAACTCAAAAGGCTCAGAAATCAGAATCCATAGAGATCTGAGAGGTTAGAGGTGAGGACAGGGGTACTGAGTATGACTGTATATGGGGAACTCAAACCCCCTAATCCCTTACCTATCCTGTTCCTCTCAATCCCCCTAGGGTAAGAAGAGAATTTTCATTATCTGGAAAAATCAAGTAAGGAAAGTGTCAAACCCAGAGATAATGGGAAAGCAGAAGGTTGTAATAAAGTGCTGGACTAAAAATGAAAAGACTAAATAAAAGTTTGCAGTGATACCCCCTGGCTGCCTTCAACTATTCACATTCAAGTACAACCAATTAGTCAACAAGCTAAGAAAGTTATGGAACCAGCCTACAGAGAAACTATCCAAATCCAGAGGATAATGCGCTCCAGGAGAAAGGTCAGAAGGTAGCAGAGCAAATAGGGAGCAGTATGCTACGGGGAAATGGAAAATAGTATCCTAAATAAAAAAACAGTTTGGAAAGCATGGGAAAATTTAACCCTAGAAACAAAGAGAACTAATCAAATGAAAAACAAAGCAATTATTAAGTCCAGGAAAAGGAAAAGTTATACAGGAAAGAAAATAATTGTAGTACACTTCTTGTTAAAGCAGCTAGCAATATTTATACCCATAAAGTAATCACTGACTAATGATTTATCTGAAAATTGTAATGCTACTATATCGGGAGAATTGAAGAGAATACTGGAAAAGTATGTGTGCTATACAAGAGATCAACTGATGTCTAAAACTGATAAACCAATCAACAGCACTATAAACAATTGCTTAAAAATGTGGAGGTTAAATACAGAGAGAGTGATACAAGTTAAGTATACTCTGGCGGATGGGATCCAACAAGAGATCAACTGATGTCTAAACTGATGAACCAAGCAACACTATAAACAGTTGCTTAAAAATGTAAAGGTGAAATACAAACAGAAAGCAATAAAAGGGGCATGGGATGCAAGATCAGGAAGAATGAAGCAGGGAATAGTTTTTACCAGCTTTTCACACTACTTGAAATCTGTATGTACTACTTTGATAAAAATTAAAATGTTAATTTAAAAAGTAAGGCCAAAGAAATAAATGAGGGGCACACTCAAATACTTGTAGGTTAGTCAAACTTAGTTAGTGCTTACCTAGAAGCACTAACTTCCGCAGAGTCTCAGAATGATCCACATAGTCCCGAAGCGTGAAGGAAACTGGGGGCAATGGAGGGCCTGCAATAATCTGAACAGCCTCCTCCTCAGAAATTGGCTGCAATGGAGACAGTGGAGGCAAATCATCCAGTTCTTTGAAGCAAGCCACGTGGAAGGAGAGAAACAAGTTAGCATTCCAATATGCACACTTAAAATTATTTCTACAAAGGCCTCCTCTTCCCTAGTTTGCTTCTTTCACTGGTTAAACCTCAGGATCACTTTGGAATTAAACGTCTAAAAAGCCCCCAAATTTTCTACCTTCTAAGAGGTAAGGTTAAGACTATTACAGACCAACTACTGTTCCTCCAATATAAAAATGTGTTGGTAAGTTTCAAGGCACAGAACTCCTTTCCTTCACTTTTAACCAGCAGGTTTGAATGCTAAAGATCAACTGATGTTCAAGTACATTTTCACAAAGAGACTGAGTCTACGATAGCTTATTTACTTGGCTTGAAAAGTAGAACATATTCCAACAGCCAGGATCGCATGGATTAAAGTCATCACATCCTGAAATGTCTTCGTTTTGATCCAATCCCTTCCCCTCCAAGTTATTTTCTAATATGTCTTTATGGGGACTTCTAAGATTTTTCTACAACCTGTAGTCTTTTGCTAAAGTTGTGACCCTCTCTAGTACAGCCTTGATTCTGAGGTTTTGTTATTTTAAAATTCATCATCTATTTAAAGCTAAGAAATTGGGTGTCTTTATGGGGACTTCTAAGATTTTTCTACAACCTGTAGTCTTTTGCTAAAGTTGTGACCCTCTCTAGTATAGCCTTGATTCTGAGGTTTTGTTATTTTAAAATTCATCATCTATTTAAAGCTAAGAAATTGGGACTGTGATTTCTTCTATTTTTTGCCTCTAATCTCTAATTACCTTTTCTCAGTTTTCTATAGCCAGCCTCCCCACCCCCGCAACCAGCTTTCTTCCTTTTATATTCTACTTCACAGAATATTATCTAATTTGCACCAAAATATTCCTAGAATAGGAAGGAAAGAGAGAATTGACTAAAAAGTGAAACATGGAATCTTTTTGGAGTGATATACTTACTGTTCTAGTTATTGACTGTAATGCATATGAGAAAATTTATAGAACTGAATAACCCAAAGATAAATTTTACTTCATATATAAATTATACACTAATAAATCTAATTATCACCAGAAGAAAAAAATTTTTAGAAAGTATCTAAATAGTACAGTATTTAGTAAGCAAATGTTACCGCTTCTCAACCTTTTGGCTAAGATCAAGGGTAGAAACCAAATGTTATATATAGAGCTATAAAATACATATCTTATACATATTAACCCACAAAACTGTTTTCTTAGTCAATAAAGGTATAACAGAAATAAATGAATAGAACAAGCATTGTTCTTTTTATTACCTGCTACAAAATATGACCTGCAATGGGCTAGCAGAATGTAAACAGGTAGCTTTTCAAACTGCCAAAGTGGGGAAAACAGGACTTTTCTGAAAGTTCAGAATTACCTTCTAGAGACAGCTCAGAATCAAAGTTAGATATCTTTTGAGTCTTCTGTAACCGTTCATTCACAGAAGGAAGCAGAGTGCTTTGGGTAGAATTATTCTCTTGTCTACTTAAGTTGGTAGACTGGGAAGTATTCCATAAGGAGGAAGTTCTGTAAGTCTTAAATCCCCACTGGAGAAAGTAATTGTTAGAGGACATCTGAGACTGAACAGAAAAGCCATGCAACAATGTTTTTCCTGGTCTTGGAAAACATTTTGTTAGTTGTGCAGCATTAATGAAGATACCCAATTTAACTGAGTTGAACCATCTCGGTATCTGCTGAGCTGACAGGGCCATTTTTCTTAAAGTAGTCTACAAAGAAAAAAAATAACTATTAGAAGAAGAGAAATGCAATTTACTTAAATGTTTAAAACAGTATTCAAACAACACAAAGATAAACTGGAAATTATTTTTTCTAAATGAAAGGTGTTTAAATAAATTTAGATGACTAAAACAGTGAGATGTTTCTTATGCACAGGAAAAGCCAAAAACAAGGCAGTCTCACAACCAAAAGACAGGAACTTCTAGTCTCAGTTACAACCAAGACAGGAACTTCTGAACTGGAAAAATAAAGATATGCTTTACAATTTAAAAACAAAAAGCAAAATCACTGGTATAAGGAAAACATTTAAAACAAAAATCTGTATACATTCAAATTACAGCTGAACTAATATTCTCTGTTAATCTTTTAAAGAAAATAAGACTATGCAATTAAGTATTCTTAAAATTTGGCTTGAAGGACCTTTAAGAAGACTGCTGATCAAAATAACACTGAATTATTCAAATGCATTTTATTTATATAAATTAGTCACAATAAAAAATAGAAATCCATTCTGTCTTAAATGAATCATCAAAATATTATCATTGCTGTAAAGAAGAGTGAAGGCTATTTCTTGCTTCATCCTCAGAGCTGAACATTGTTGATTATTTCACAGATAAAGCTGTTCTTCAAAAAGGAATGGAACAAACCCAGTTTTGTGAAATTCTGTTTCACTGTAGGAAACAAGAAAAAGAAAAGCCTTTGAAAAGGTCAAAACTAGCAAGCAAAATGAAGTGACAGATATAAATAATCAACCAGAAATGAATACATGTATATTTTGATTGAAAAAGTAGTTGTTTAAAAAAAATCTTTTATCAAGAAAGGCTGTTGCTATTTTACTCTTGTTATTCTGGGAATATGAAGGAATTTTATATTTAGCCAACTAATTACAAAAGTAAGTTTAAGTAAGATAGTCTATAGGGTCTAGCATACGGGAAATGCTCAACAAATGTTAGCCATTATTACTACTATTGATAACACACTCAAATGCAAACTAATGTTTGTTGCATGCAACTTTTTGCTTTGTTTTTCTACACAGTGGAATTCAGCTTCTTTTATGCTCTGAATTAGACCAAATACTTGAGGGTCTAACCTCCTCTTGAGGATTTGTAGTTTTGGGACATTTGCTAAAAGAGAGTTATAAATGTGAAAATCTCACTTTCATTCTGAAATGATTTTAGAAAGGAAATAAGTGTTCATAATATACTTGTGGGATAAGTGATTTTTGTTAAATTTTGGTAGGAAATGAGCCTCCAAATCTTTCAAGTTTTCGCTCAAACCTCCACCATTCGTTTTCTGCACAACAGTCATAAGAGCACTAAACTGTAAGCCAGAAGCCCTCGGTTATGCTACCTTGACAAGACTAAATTTCTGGTGGTGGTCTAGTACAATGTCTAGCCCACGGTAGGGGTTCAATGACCATTCTTCAAATAATAATTTTTCTAAAAGGCTAAGGGTACAATAAGATGATTCTTAAGGTCCCTATGAGCTCTAACATTGCTGACTTCTAAAGTTTGTCTAAGCACTCTGTCCTACTTCAAAGCAACCTCCTGAAATTCCAAATTTATTCTAAAGCCTTTCCAGACTCAAATTAGTACTCCTCTCATATCAGGCAGACTCACTTTCAAATTCCATCCATATTTATTAAAAGACCTTTGTGCATACAACTAATGTTTATCCTTCCATCTTTATTTCCGAGTGCACTATCTTCTCTACATCATCATTTCACTGCTGTCTATACATCTTAACAATTGATTAACTGTTCTTTCACGAGAGCAGGGCTGGGTCTCATCCCTGGATCCTCCCTCTCACTGACTATTCTCCACTAGCCCAGAGCCTTGCGCGGCTCCAAGTACAGATTAACTCACTTGTCTATATACAGTACTCAAAAGCGGGTAAGGAATTTGCAGATGTGTATAAAAGCCCTGTGAAGTGGTAACAGTAAGTCTTCTAACACGACCCTGGCTTCCCATCAGGAAGATTAAAGAAAAAACCCTTAAAGAACTCTAAAGTCCATTAAAATATCATACACTACTTCTCAACTGTGTCTAGTGCTTCACTAGGAATGGGCCTTGAGATAAGAGTATTTTTCGAGGGTTCAAGGTTTCTACCTCTGCAAGGGTTATAAATGAAATCAGGAGATGAAAGGGGGGGTAAGCTGGGTGGCTTAATTAAGGGCCTCTGAAATAATACTGACACCCCCCACCCCCCAGGCCATTTCAGCCAGTTTTAGTTCCCCAAACCGAACTTCCGCAGGAAGCCAGTTTACACGCAAGGCCTCCTGCGTCTCCCGCAGAGCGCGCTAATAGGCGAATATAAACATGGTCGCGCTTTTTTCACATCAGGGGGAAAACACAAAACAAAACCAATCACCCTAGCTGGAGGCCACGAAGGCCTGCGGGCCGGGAGGCCCAGGGCCCTGCCTGGACGCGGGTGGGTAGGGATGGAAACCACCGCCGGGAGTGCGCCACTCGCGCTCGGGCGCCTCCTGGCTTTACCTGCGGCGAGGCTATGCCTCGTCGTGTGTCCCGCGGTGGCCGTCGGGCACGCAGGGCCGCACGCACTGTCCGGCGGGGCCGCACGCCCGCCAGCCCGCGCTCAGCCCCGCGCCGCAGCGCCGCCAGGCCCACGTGGGCTACAGCCGGAGTGGGCGAGACCATCTGCCAGGCTGCGCGGGGGGAGAGCGAGCTGCGTGCGGGAGAAGGAACAAGCCAGGGGCCACAGCTGCCCTTCTCCCCTCCCCACTTTCTTCAGACGTTGTAGATTGGAGTCTTAACGCTAGTGAGTGCCTAGAGGTGCCTCTGCCGGAACGCCAGCTCGGGACCGGCCGGCGGCGCCCCCCGCCCAAGGCCGCGTTGGCGGTACCGAGACCCCGCCCTCCCGCGCCTGTCCTTCCCTCCGCTTCCAGCCCTTGCTGTGCGCCAGACCCGGTCTCGCTGTCTGGCTACCGCCCCACGGCTGCTTACCTCCGGGGTCCCAGCCTCCACGGGCTGGGGCCGCCGCCGCCGCGGCAGGACGGGGAGGCGGGCCATGGCGTCCTGCGTGGGGAGCCGGACGCTGAGCAAGGATGATGTGAATTACAAGATGCATTTCCGGATGATCAACGAGCAGCAAGTGGAGGACATCACCATCGACTTCTTCTACCGGCCGCACACCATCACCCTGCTCAGCTTCACCATCGTCAGCCTCATGTACTTCGCCTTCACCAGGTGAGGCGGGCCCGGGGACGAAGGGAAGAGGCGGGAGGGAGGCGGTGGCGGGCAGGGTGGGCCGGTGCGGCTCTGGGGTGCGGAAGCAGGCTGACTGCTGCACGCACACACACTCGCAGACCTGTAGCCCACGCACTCCTCCACCCGCCCGGTGTCTCACAGCCTGCCCAGCCTGCTCCCCCACCCCCCAACCCCGCCTCTCAATACCGCCCTATGTAGAGCGCCTCCAGCGACACCGGGAACACACGCGGGTCACCTAGCACGATCGCTCCCCTATCTACCGCACTCAGCATCGCTCCACATATATCACGGCACGGGCCTCCTCCTCTGCAGCCCCTCCAGGCCCCGTCCCTACCCAGCACACCGGATGAATCATCTTCTGTGCATCACTTTCAGTGCACACCGCTACACATAAAACACCCCGATCCACAGCGCCTGCATGTACCGTACACGGGCTCAAGACACAATCTAGATCCCTTCCCGTGGAACTCCTCTAGTATTCAGCACTACCCGCCACACACAAAAACTGCACAAGTGAGGTGCACCACACGGTCTTTCCCATGCAGCACCTACCATATTCACTGCACACAAATCATGTAGCATAACCCTTCCCCCAGCTTCAGACACTACCGTCTGTACCACGACACAAACTGCCGCCCTAGACACACACATCACAGCGGACGGACCTTTCCCTTCCAGCACAGTCCATTACCCATCACCTCCTGTGTGCATTGCTGCACACACCCCAGCCCACCACACATCACACAGTGCGCACCCCACCTGTTCATCGCCTAATATACATGCTGAAATGAGATATTGTCAAGCAGTTATAATGATGCCTGGTGCATTAGTAAATGCTGTATGTGTTAAACAAATAAAATACATAAACCTCACCCAACATAACACCACTCTTATTCCCCTGAAAACATACACACACACGTTCAAAGTGTTTCTAATGTATACCTGTTCCTAGGAGCGGCCCAGCCCAAATCTTGAACACCCACATCATGTAATTCTACAGAACTGCGCCTGTGGCCCCTCCACCCCAACCCAGAGAACTAATTTATTCCTGGTTCATAACAACACACACACACAATGGTTCCTACTTACAAGGTTTTATATTTTCTGAATGCACCTCTTTAAAGAAAGGAAAGGCATGCCTACCCCACCATTATGGCTTGAAAGACCAATCCAGAGTAGTGTAGTTTTGGAACCGGACTGTTGGGTTCAAAACTAGCTGTGTGTTCTTAGTTAAGTTACTTAACCTTGCTCTGAACCTCTGAGCCACACCTGTAAAATGAGGAAAACATATGTACTTACCTCGTATGGGGTTATGAATATTAAATGAATATGTGTGAATGTATTTAACAAAGTACCTGATATGCAATGCCTAGTTACTGTCAGTTACTTCTCTCCGAGTATTTTCATCCAGCAATCTATGGTTCTCAATCGGGGTCAACAGAAAATGTTTAGGGGTATGTTTGGTGGTCGCAATGATTGAGGGAACTTCTGATATTTAGTTGGCGGGGGGGAGGTTAAAGGATACTGAATGTATTGTGACATATGGGTCAGTATTGTACAACAAAGAATGAATTGTCCCATACATGCAAGCTTGTGAATGAACATGCACACGCGTGCACGCGCTCATATACACACACACAGTGCCAGTGGTGTCTCCCATAGGAATCACTACAATTTTTCAGATTTTCACAACAACTAGTATCTTCCCACATCACACTTATTCCTTTCCTCAATAATCCATTTGACTCTTGGTTCTTATTATGTTTATTTGCATGAATCTAACTAAAGGTATAAATCATATGTAATGATTACTTACTCTTTAATGATGGAGAGATACTGCTACTGTTACTGTCAAGTCTGCTAATGCTGTGCAGTGGAATAAGACCAGACCTTTCCACAGTGTGTGACCAAATGTATTTCTAGCTTTGGAGAGAAATCAGTCTTGTTCCTAGTTATGGTTACCCTTAAATATTTCATCATGTAACGTGATTTTGCCACCTAATAGCTGTGTGGCCATTTAATTTTGCTAGTGTCAGTTTTCTTATCTGTATGTAAAATTAAAATACCAATACTAGTACCTCATAGGATTGTCTAGCATAAGGATTAAATTTTTTTTTTTTTTTGGTGGCTGGCCGTTATGGGGATCTGAACCCTTGATCTTGGTGTTATAACACCATGCTCTAACCAGCTGAGCTAACTGGCCAGCCTAAATTCATTTTTTAAGAAGATCTGTGCTTAGTTCAGGGCATGCAAATATTAAGTGCTTAATAAACATTAGTTTTTATTATTACTTGATTTCATTGTATGCTAATGCTTCTAAATCATATTTGTTATTGAATGAGGGTGTATTAT